CTCCCTCCCTCTCTCTCTCTCTCTCTCTCTCTCTCTTCTGGCGCTGCGGTGTCATAAACAGTCAGCGATGCCGACAGCACGCAGGAACTCAACGCTTGCCCGGGGGTCCTTAAAAGATGGCACTTGTAACACATTAGATCCTATAAATGCCGAATTTGTTTCAGCTTTAGTTTTAGTAGAGTTTTCAGAGCGCTCGCAATTGCATAAGGTCATATGAGCGCCAAGGGTAGGATGTCAACAGAGAAGTCTTTACAGGGAATCAGGCTTACTCTGCTCACCTCTCTAGCTTCAACAGCACAAAGTCAGCTTCAACTATGAAGGCACCCGAGATATAGAGGGTCACATTCGTCTCAAGAGTGTGACAAACATACAATAGACGAAGAGGAAAAATGATGATAGTAAAGATGAAGAAAGAAAAAGCAGCAGTTCCCTGTTGCAGTCCAGGCACAGTTATGAGGATGACATTGATGAATCAGCCCATTTACAATTCTACTGTGCATAAGAACATGTTAATATCCCCCCCTTTCTGAATGGCCTAAAGACACTTCAGTCAGTAGCACTGCCCCTAGGGGGGTAAACCGAATGTTTGTTTCTTTGAGCACGGTCACAGAGAAGCACATTGACACAAAATGATCATTTAGTGCTCTAGTGCTCGGAAAAAGTAAGACAGACAGAAACAACAGAGGGAGAGTAAAGAAGTAGGACTTAACAGTGGCGCACTCCAACAACCCGTTAAGTGCCGAAGAATAGAGTGTTACAAGAGAGTAACAATACACAAAAAAAAGGAGAGATAAGCACGATAGGTATTTGATAGGACAGAAGGAGCAAACTACACCAAAGCACCCACCAATCACCCAAACTCATGCTCCGACACAAACAGAGGAACGTTTCACAACACTCTCTTTCTCCCTTCTACAACAAGCACACACACTTAAGCGAACACATAACAACAGAAATATAAATGGGCACGCTAGTTTTAAAAATCTGAAAACCTTAACTCTTTATCTCCGGCAAGCCGCTCCCAGTGGCTCGCGGTCGGAACGGCTGTGCCGGTGAGCCGCTGACAGCGGCTCAGGCAGATTCCTTTACGACAACTTTGACATCAAATTACTTTCCGGCAATTGCCTAAAACAAGTTTCTTTTTACAGAAAGTTCATTCATTAGATGAAGTACTATCATCATACGTTCGCAAGTTTCGATTTAATGACCCATTTAGGGACATTTTCGTCATTTTTAGATTTAGTACCTAAAAAGGGCCCCAGCGTAGTGGGTTCACCCCCTCGGAGATAAAGAGTTAAGCAACCGCCGCATTATGTGTGTGATATGAAAATAAACTTAAGTAAGATGCATTAATATACATTGTAAAATGCATAGAACTTGCTGTTGAGAGAGAATTTGTGCTATACAAATGCTATTTTTATTCTTACCATGCCCATTTCATGTATGAAAAAGACATGTGCAAAACTCAGACACAGATGCATCACATACGGCAGTAAGATCTTACTTTTTTTTTCCCAACTCTTCATACTTAATAATGACTGCCTCATCTCTGTCCTTTTATTGTTGGGGTTCTTTTTTCCCCACACCAGGAAGGGAATAAAAAATCTGTACTCAGAGAGAAAATCTATAACATTTACACCCCTGAGACAAACAAACAGATTTCCCGCGACACCCCGGGACAACATCCTCCGCACCTGGACCAAGACGCCCAGATCTCAGCGTTGACGTCCTCTGGCAGCAGCTCGTACTCCGACACCACATAGTCATAGTGGAGGCTGCGGCGGTCCGGGAAGTAGTCGGTGGTCACTGGCAGGGAAGCAGGGATGGTCAGCGACTTCCAGTCCACAGCTGTACCAGAGGCAAAAGAATAGTAATGGTGACGTTTACGCGTGTGGGCTGCACGGCTGGTTACAAGTCCGGCAGAAATCTTCACACATTTGCCCATTACAAGGATGAAAATGGCTTTTTCTCCATTCTGCCATTATTTTAAGCTCGTTTTGCATTTCTCAAGCACTTTAGTTTAGTTTTAGTTTTATTAAGAGTTTTACGGCACTTGAAACACAATAAGGTCATATAAGTGCCGAAGATTAGAGGTGTTACAAGAGATAGATGTCTGATAGGAAAGAAGGACCAAACCACACCAGAGCACCCGCCAACCACCCACTCAAGCACTTCACTTTGACAATTTTTTTGAAAAGATGTGTTATCAGCCCCCCAAAAACAAAACAAAAAGAAAAAAAAGAAAAACTATGTTATCACAATTCTTTACCCTTGTATTTGTCTATATCAGAGCTATCACAGTCATTTTTGGTCACATTTTTCAGTATCTATCTGCCAAAAACAAAGGTACAGTTAGAGTTAGGGGAGGGTGGAAAGATACAAGACAAAAATTTTTCTTGTCAACAATATGCACGGTTGGATACATACAACACGACATTAAAACCACACAACAAAAAGTATCAATTGCTTTTTACCTTACCAAAATAACATTATTTTCCAAGCTCCCCCCCTCCCCAGTCACCGTGAAAGATGACAAAGAGTTTTTTAAAAAGTTGATAATAGTTTGGAAAGCTAGAGGACGTGGACCAGAAAATATCAACACAGAAAAAAAAAAGGGAAGGGGACAACATTATGTGTGTGTGTGTCTGTATGTTATTGACAGTGTGGGCTCACACCCCTTTCAACACTGTAAGGTTAAGTAAGTTGTGGAAAATATGAATTTAACATCTCCACCCCAGATAGATCAATACAGGCAGAGAGTCATGAAAACTCTCAAAATAACCCAAGTTCAAGAATGACTCATTGAGATTCGAACCAAGGTCTTCTGTACCATAGCCCAGCATGATACATCAACTGGGCTAAGCATGCCCAAGTCACAGGGCAAGGAAGATGCTTTAATGCAGGTGTTTTTACACCACTCCCGTCCACACATACAGGGCAAGATTTAAAAAACACTGCTGGGAGAGAAAAGTAATGTAAGGTAAGGTCACCATGCCAGTTTTTGCTCCATTTTTTTTCTTTTCCAGTGAACTGGGAGCTCCAGTGGCTAAGTGAGCAGTGAGTTCAGACTCAAGTAAAGTCAAGCAAGTTTCGGTGACACAGGGTTTAGATGGGTAGTCACCGAAGTGTGCCCTTGAGCAGGACACGACAACCCTAGGTGCTGCACACTGGCAACTGGTAATGGCATGGTTGTAAATAGTTCTGTATAGATGTAATATTGTGTATTTATGTATGCATTTGTGCATATATTTATAATTATGTATTTATGTATGCGTGTATAATGTATGTTTGTCATTGTAAACCAAATGGCCCTTCTGGGACCAATAAAAGTGTAATCTATTTATTATTTATCTGACATTCAAATAGACGTGCCCATTACTGAATCCCAAGGCCCATTTCTGACTGCCAAAGGATTTCCAAAGGTCATTTTCAAAAATAAGAAAGAAAAGCTGCACACATAACATACAGTCGAACCTGACTTTACAACCACCTGTCCAAGACAATCACCTGTACATATATGTCCAAAAAGGAAAACGGAACACCTGTCTAATTTGTCCACTTTTCTCCTTGCAGTGGGTGGTCATCTTGGACAGGCCCGACTGTAGTAAAAGTCATTTTGTTGATCTGCGTTAATCACAATGCTCTATGGGCCACCCATTTGAGCATCCCTGTTCAATGACATTGTGGTGCCACTAATTGTTATCATCTAAATATGTTCAAAACTATAGGCATACAATACACCATCAACACAATCACTACAACCTCCGTAAGCACAAGCTTTCTGTACTGCATCTTGTTTAATTTCTCTGAAGTGCAGTGAAAGGCTAAAAAGCCATCCATTTAAAAAAGTGGATAACCTATTGCTATACAAAACCGACCAAAAAAAAAGCAACTAGCAGCAGCCAATAATATATTATTATCATGCCACAGCAAATTATAGTTCTATTCAGAAAGCACATGATAGGTATAGGTATTTGTTAGTACAAAATGCACATATATCTACGATTTGTTTTCTTTATAAAGGAGCATAGCCTCCAGTAAAATCAGTTCACATGCATAGCTCAAATCTCCCTTCTCATCATACTTGGCCTTCAAACAAACAGAGTGATAAGACACAGTCAGAGAAAAAAATGTACCCCAACTTGACCCTGGAAGATACAAGCAAACTGTAACATGTCAAACATAATCAAAAGAGCCTAAAAGTACTTGGAGGGAGGACATAGATTCAAACCAAAGGGAGACTCCTTCTAAACACCTGGACAGAGGTGGAGACAACAGGTTTAGTCTCAGTAAGACTAAAGAGTTTTACAGCCCTTGCAACACAAATAGGTCACATAAGAGCCAAAGATTAGAGGTGTTACTACTAGAGAGAAGGAGCAAACCACACCATAAAGTGCTAACACACTTGAAGATGTTAAGAGGAAAAGTTGTTTGCAGACTGAGAGGTATGAGAAGTAAGCCCCCACAGGTCACAAGAGCGAAGAAGAAAACAAAAAGTTTCTTATTATTCCCTTTAAGCCCCATGACCACGAGGAAAATTTTCACTCATCACATGGCTGTGAGTATACAAAGGATGAAATTTTCGCCTGTTCATTTCTCTTCAAGGTCACGTGACTTCATACTTCACAGCCGTGTTATGAGTGGAAATTTTATTAGTGTGCACAAGACCTTAGTGACTTTTATGTCGGGCAATGTTAAGGCCCATGGAAAATCACATGCATCTTGGAGAGCAAAACAAAAGACCACGCAACATGAAAGGCAACAGTAGAGCCATGAGTCTCTTATAGATGAGGAGAACAGCATAGCTGACCTTTCAACTCATGCATCAGACACAGTTAAACGCCTTGAGAAAGCCTTATTTTTTCAACAACTCTCATCAAAAACAGATGCGCAAGACATGTTTGACTTTGAGTTTGAGTACAGAGAAGCACACCAACACAACAACAGTTACATAGTGCTAGGAAGAATTAAGATGGAGAAAACAGGGAAAAAAAAGAAGGACCTACCAGCAGTGCCCTTCAACTGACACTGCTTACCCAGAGAGCCCCTTCCTAAACCTTTTTAAAAAAACAATTAAAATGAAAAGGACACTTTCGAATCATGATAAACCAGACACACAAACAACCCTGGCTAACAATAAAAATAACAACCTCTCTCTCTTTAGCTTAATCATCCATGTCATAAAACCTTTTCCAACTTTATGTAGCAAACTGGATGTTAGTGAACACCAACATGGATGCAGTCAAACAAAAACGTCAAGGGAATCTAACCAAGACAAGTTCCAGGGCAAAATTCTTCCTTCAACGTATTCATCACAAATGTGCCTGAAGGTTAGTACACAGGGGAGCCAAAGGAGCTAGGTACATTAAAGATGCGAGTCAGACAAATGTGAATAGCAAGGCACGTTAAAGAAAGAGTCAGACAGATGTGAATAGCAAGGCACGTTAAAGAAAGAGTCAGACAGATGTAAATAAGCACCAAAGCGCGAGTGCGAGGAACCAAGTCTTCATAGCAGCCCACCAAAGGCAGCAACGTGCTCAAACAACATTGTGTACATTAGAAGGGCACTGGGCAAAGAACGACGGCAAAATAACGGAAGGAAATGCACACAATATGTTAAATGGTCGTGGGCGGTGTGATGAAACATACAGTGACAAACAGTGTACGGGTGAACAGGGACATGCAGGCATCTCACACAAACAACAGAATAGAATAGAATAGCAAGGCTCTTCTAGGCACATAAAGGTAGCAAATCTACAGGTAGTCAATAAACACAGCAAATCTACAAGATAACGAAAATGATCCTACCTCTCCCCCACAAATCATCCCTCCGCAAAAAGAGAACATAAAAATATCCCCCTCCCCCCTTCCTAAGTTGATAATTTTTTAAAAACTAACCTACAACAGTCTTAAACAAACAAGAAGTAACAAAATCTAATGAAGAGATAGATGAACGTACAGACAAATATTCAGACAGACACACAATCGAAACTGTCTAAAAATGCCACCCATTGTCGAAGGCCGTCTTACAGTCTCATTTTCATGTTAAAAAAAAATACTCAAAGGAGGAGCCCAGTAGAAAGTAACCATTTGTACAGGTGGCTGTCAGAGCAGTTTCGACTGTATAATCAAACAATGAAACAGGAAGATAGACAGACAGGCAGATGAACAAATAGAAATAGGAATTGAATACTGAATGGACAACATACTGACATTACAGATAGTGACAAGACATTCTGACACAATTTTTTTTTACATGAGCACTCAAAAACCAGGGACCATGTTCTTTCAATCACAGGCTCTTGAAAATGTCTTGAGTTTGAGTAATGAGCAGCACATTAGCTCCACGAAAGCCAGAATAATGAAAGGAAAACACTAAACACACAAGACTGAAATAACACAGAGAAAGGAAAGAAGTAGAACTAGCCAGAGGCCCCCTCCATCCATATACTAAAAATGTCTGCACTGACTGAAGAAAAACTATGTGCATTGAATGGAGACAAGCATTTAAAATAATAGTTTGTTCATTATAAACTGATAGATCATGATCTTTAACATCCAAAGACGAAGAGAAATTAAAAAACCTGAAATAGCTCGCAAGGTAAAAAGAGAAAAGTTTAAGAAGAATATCTTTCCTAAAGAGAACAAATCTCAAGATAAAGAACATCGAGTTCTGAATTGGCTTCAGCAATACTCTGATTGACAAGACAATGAATTGCTCAAAAGAACTGACATGACAAAGACAGAATTACTTTAAACATACATCATCAAGAGATACAGAGAGAAATATAAAGCAACGAATCCCAAATAGCAAACCTAAGCAAAAAAAATTAAGATTTATAGGAGTCCTCTTGACAAAACTATGAAGCACTCAGAAATGAGCAAGCTCATTTATCTTCTACGACAGCTGTAAAATATAATAGAAGCAAAACAAATCCCGAAACAAATCAAAATCTATATAAAATAATGGGAGCCTCTATATAAAAAATGAACACAAAAATGGTCTTTGACAAAAACAACAACAAAGGAAACAAAACATGACCAATTATAATAACCCAAACAAAGCTAGTAAATGCATCATCATCATCAGCAAACAGCCTCTACACAGAGGAAGCAAGAGCCACCAGTGCCAATCTACTCGGGTGAATAACAAGAAAACAGCACAGGCGATGAAAGGCAACAAAAAAACAAAACTAATGAACCGTACTTATCCCTGCGCTGAACAAGTTGGATTGGATATCTCCTCTATAAATAGATTTAGTTAGCCTTGACCCACTGTGATCCTGTAGGTCAGAGGCTAAAGGTCGCCAGTCGTAGCCTGCAGATGTACAATATCCACATGAACGTAAAGAATGCAAAAGAAACACAATTGTTGAAGACATCTGCCGTAAACCCCTCTAATTTTTCCGCCAAACTTGTAAAACAGCTACACAACCCCAAGCGTAATCAATCATTGTTGCCGAAAGGCAGTTCACAGCAGGTCAGCTGGACATTTGCCACATTTATCCAGACACTCACTGGGACAGCAATAATACAGGAAATAAATAAAAGAAGCAGTCCACACCAAAGTGTACGTTTTGTGTCACTGACTGCAGTTCAAGCTCAAAGCCCAACCCCAAAAAGTCAGCCACAATTCAAACTGTCAATAGAGGGAAAACTCAAGAGACATAGGCACACAGCCAAATCATCTCAACTTGAAAAAAAACATTCTATAAAATAATACATTAAAATAATGATTAAGTCATCTGCTGTTACCCCAATATTTCAGCAGTTACAAAAAGCTGACAGAGAAAAACAATAAACCATAAACCACTGGAACAGGACACTGGACTGTTCCTATCCTGTCATTGTTTCAGGATCAAAGCCCCATACATGGACAGCAAGACTAATCTAATTACTCTCAGGATCATCAAGCTTACACTGTCCCAATAGCTTCATGTTTACAACAAGTGTAAATTTCTCACAGCAAAAGCAAGACCATCCATCGTGTTTCTTTCATATGTTCTTCCTGGTGTGAAAGATTGTGTGACTGATTACAAGCTAGATTTGTGCCATGCACTCCTTTTCCTATTATTTAGCCACTGGTAATCACAAACAAAAATCAGCTTTGACATTTTATCCCTAAACTTTCAGACCTTGACATTTGACTAGTATGCAGAGCTAAGATTGATATGAATATAGACTCGCGTGACCCATTCTGACAAAGAGAAAGGAACCCGATATTTTCCGCAGAAGGGATGGCAAAAACGGTGGAAAACGAATTACCAAAATATTGCACAATCCTGCCTAATGACAATGTTTCTTTATTTGTTTGAGGAATTAGAAACACATCGATAAAATAACAGTCACTTTGCAAAGGGGTAAAAGCTAGACAGACAGACAGCTAGAAACAACAAAGAGAAAGAAAAGAAGTTGGACCTATCGATGGATCCCTCCAACCACCTGCTAAATGACAACAAAACTACAAACAATTTTGCAACCTCACAAAAATTCACCCGTTATCTATTTTTAGCGCTCAGTGCACACATCTTTCGCCTTCACTCTGAGTTACACAGAAACACTTGGCACAATAACCGCTGTCTTAAGAAAAAATTTTAGTAACAGTTTTACGGCACTTGCAACGCAATAATGTCAGATATTCGCTGACAATTACAGGTGTAACAAAGAAATTGACAAACACAAAAAAGGAAGATGGACAAGGAAGAAAGATGTTTGATAGGAAGAAAGGAGCAAACCGCACCAGAGCACCAACCAACCACCCAGTAACAGAGGTCTTGTGCTGAGAAAACTTCAGACAGGCAGGCAAGCAGAAATAACACAGTGATAACTATCAAACAGAACCTACCACAGGCACCCTCCAACCACCCACTCCATTACTCTAATTCCTGGGCCTGGAGCTTTTCTATACAAACAACCTACTGAAGTCTAGGGGACGTTAACCTCATACAAAAAAGAAAGAAACAAAAAGCAACAGAGGGCACAATAAAATCATTTAGCATAAACAAAAACAAAAACAAAAAGATAACATGGAAAGAAACACTTTAATAAATTAAATAGTAATCAAGGAAAATTAAAAATGAGGCTCCACTTGAACTTTAAAAAATCCAACTCATATTCCAGAAACCACATCCTGAAATGTCACACTCACAGAGACACACTCCCCAACAAACACAAGAAGAAAAAAAAGCATCAGCCAGCACTTCATTCTGCATTCAACACAAGTCAAGTTGCCAAAGACGGCAGTGCATCTTCATAGGAGTTTTTTTAGGGTCAAGGAAATACCCTAAAACAACCTAACAACAGATGCAGTTGCTTGTTTGTTTGTTTGTTTGTTTATTTGACTAAAGAGAATCACATCGACACAATAGCCATCATTTAGTATTAAGAAAAAGGAGACAGACATGCAGGAACAATTTAGGGAAAGAACAGAAGAACAGAGGCAGTAAAAAAAAAAAAAAAAAAGGAGAAAGATAAGGACGATAGTTGTTTGATAGGAAAGAAACAGCAAACCACATGAGAGCATCCACCAACCGCCCACTATTCAAACTCAGAGGTTGCGTTAGTACCACGGTGAAAGAAGAGGTAGGGCAGTCAAAAAGATGTGAGAGCACACCGTACGACAGAGTAGAGCACTAAAGCAAACACTGACAAAGCACCAGTTGCATGTCTTTCTGGACACACTTTAGGTCACTTCGAAGACAAAGAAATTAAAGGTGCTTCCCACCAATCCACGGAGGGTGAGATTTTTTTTTTTTAAAATTCTAGGACAGGTAAAAAAAAAATCATGAGAACTTTTCAGACTAGAAATCTGAATCTACGAGCACGGAAAAAAGTTTGTTAACCAAAACTGCTCAAATATCAGTGAGTGAACAGGCACAATTCTAGTCCAAGAAAGCAATCGGTGAAATAAGACATGATGCAGTAAAACTACAGACAATCACACGGCAAAAGGGCAGTCAAGTCACACAACTACAAAACAATCTCAACGCCAGCAATAGGTGCCACCAGGCCGGTAAAAGATATCCAGAACTTTTCCCACCCCCTGGACACATTCCGCTAGGTGACTCAAAATTTGACTAATACATCTTATGTAACGACTTTTTAAAAATATAAATCCAGGCAATTTCAGAAATATTTCCAGAGTCATCCTGAGAATCTGCACTTTTGACCACCAAAAAAGTCTTGCAGATTTTGTTAGAACTGACACAGAAAATAATACAATTCTGTGTAAGCAGTGCACAAATAGTACACCAGAAACCGGAAAACAAACTGAAACAGAAAGTACCTGGGTATCCCACACACTGGATTGGAAGCAACTACCACAACACTCAGAGGTAAAAAAAAAGCCAATCGAAAAAATTCCAACAACCTTAACATTGTCATGAACACCGAAAAAAAAAGTAATTATCACAAGGCAGGAGACCTATGATCAAATTTGTGACAACATCAATGACGATTTATTTCAAGACAAGTCAGAGCTACTGTTCTCAGCGTGATAACTGTGAAGACATCAGGTGGTTGCTGTAGAATTTATGCCTGTAAGGAAATAGATGAAAAAGGGGAAAGAGATCGCAGACAAAAACACCTTCAGAGACGAGTCTTCCCACACATCCCACAACTCAAGATGAGCAGAGCAACTTCTCTCAGAGCCGTGCAATCCGTTAGTGCACGGCAGTACCGTTGAAAACCAGTGTCGGTACTTTCTCGGCAACCAACTGCCAGTACCGGTACCGGTACAGGGAGTGACACCAGGAGGTGACACGTTTTGCACCTAACACCACGATCAGCCCCCCCCCCACACATACACACACAAGTCAGAATTGGAGAGGCGAACTGTGACGCAAAATACCTTTGAGGTTTGCTGCAGCGCGGGATTAAATTAAATAATTATCGCCGCTAAAAATTAATTTCACTTTCGGAATCAGCGTATCAAAATAAGCAAAGCGGTTCACGTGGAACCTGATTTGATGCCACATTTAGAATTAAGCAAACTTCGTTTTTGATTTCAATTTTGAAACTGAAGTCATGCATCAAGGTCACTAGCTGCGTTGTGCATCTGACATCACAGCTGCTAGGCCTTGGCCTAGGCCTGGAATCTACACTCTGCACACTTCCCTTGGCCAGGTAAAAAAAACGTTGGTGTCGGCTCCTTCCCAGAGCCGGTACTGGAGGCCTGGTGCCATTACTGACACCTCCGTCGGTAGAACCGGGCTGGTACTGGGTACCGGTACCTGCTGATCCCTACAATCTGAGTCTATATTCGCAATGGCTGCTACATATCATTGCTGTCAAAAACAATAAACATAAGCTTTAACAGAGATGAATCTTTCAACATCATCAAATGCAGTTTAATACTATGGTCAAGGCTTACAGTTTTTTTGTTCTTCATGATTCCTGACAGGAACAACACAACAATAACTAGTTTCTTTGTCTCATATTGTAAAGAATACCCGAACGGACTTCAGTGGATTGCTTGTGACACCGACCATACGCTCTGTCTTATTGTATTGCTGCCATCTGCTGTGTAATGATTACACTCTTCATCGCCCCACTCGAAAAAGCTGAGGTTGATTCCTACATGAGTAACTCTGATCTATCAGGTACCTCTGTCTTTCTGCTGGTATGTCGTATACTACGCACCCAAGGATGGCCCTAATAGGCTGGGCTGAAGCAGCCTACCTTGTAAATATGGAACCAACTCAAGGGACTCTGTCAGCTTGACATTATGATTAAGGCCTGATGCTAGAAAAGTTCTTGGCGATCTAAGAAACATCATCAGCTGTTACATAACAACAACACAGCACAAACAGATTCAGAATCTCAACAGAGAAGTCCTTACAGGGAATCAGACTTATTCTGTTCACCTCTCTAGCTTCAACAGCACAAGGTCTGCTTCGACTATCAAGGCATCCCAAAAACAGCAGGTCACAAGAGAGTGACAAACATACAAAAGAAGTAGAGGAAAAATGACAATAGTAAAGATTAGGAAAGAAAAAGCAGCAGTTCCCTGTTGCAGATCAGGCACAGTTATGAGCGTGACATGAATCAGCCCATTTACAATTCTACTGTGCTTGAAGAGAAATGTCCCCCCTTTGGGAATGGCCTAAAGACACTACAGTCAGTGGCACTACCCCGGGGGGCCCCTATATAATGGATATTTCCGTATAGGCAAAACCGTAGCCAATGAAAATTGACTTGTTCCCATAGCATGAACCAGCGTCTGCAGAGTAGCAGTTTGGCACTTGGCCATCCCACACAGAAGAGTTTTTTGGCACTTGCAGCACAAACAGGTCATATAAGTGCCGAAGGTTAGAGTTGTTACTAGAAAGTAACATACACAAAAAAGAGGAGAGCTGAGGACGATAGATGTTTTCTAGGAAAGAGAGAGCAATAGGAAAGAAGGTTTTAACTACATGAGAGCACTCGCCCACCAACCAACCACAAAAATTGTTTCTCAAACAAATGAAAGCTGTAATTTAACCACCATAACTAACAACATTATCCATTTCTTTTTAAAATATTTAATTTCCTCAATATAGGTGTCTTTTACACCCTCTCTCTCACAATTTGGATAATTTAGGATGCCAGATCCAACCCTGCCTATCAGTGTCAACACAAACTAAGAGGGATTCAAAGTCCCAGCGGAAAGACCAGGATATTTGATTACAAATTTTCTACACCAGCAACTCAAACCTGAGTCTTCTGTGAGCAACGGTGACACACCAACCAACCATATGGCAGAAGCGGCACCAGTGTCCATGGAACTCACAACTTATACAATACATATATGGTTCAAAGAAACTATTCTTACTGAAATTTTAGAGTGCGACTGTTCTTTCAAGGTTTCCATTTTCATATCTCTGCTGAATATTACGGGGCAAAAAATGAGGAAACATTCCTTTAGTTTTAGTGAGAGTTTTACGACACTTGCAACACAATAAGGTAATATAAGTGCCGAAGATTAGAGGCGTTACAAGAGAGGAACAAACACAAAAATAGAATGAGGGGAGATAAGGACGATGGATTTTTGACAGGAACGAACGAGCAAACCACACCAGAGCACCCGCTAACCACCCACAGGAAACATTCCTAAGCCCTTCACTAAATGCCCACTTCCAACTTCGTAAGGCAGGGTAGAAAGACATGTACACATAGTACAGTAAACTTACACATAACATAAGCCATGAACCAGGCATTTTTCATCAACTACTGCAAATTGCATCGGTTTTAGCAGGTTAAAAAAAAAGAGCGGTAATCATTCTTTTCATTAGTACAGCACAGAAATCAAGAATTTATCCCCTTTCTTGCACTGAAGGCAAGACAGATACAAAATATTGTTTGATAAAAAAACAACAACCAAAGCATGTCCCTCAAAAGAAAGCTAAGTTACAAATCAACATTTTGCATTGTAGCAACAAAAAGAAATCAAGATGACATTTTAAGTCCGAGAACAAAAGAGGCAAAGAGGACACTTTGTTCCAAATAAATACTCAATTAAATTAAAGCAATCAAATATCCTGCCCAAAAGAGAAGTTAATGAAACTTTGAACCAACACCAGTGGCATCATGTTAAACAGTGGTTGGGTTAGACGAGGAGAATTCTTGGATAACAGCTCTTGATTATATTTTCATAAACAACTTTATGCGTAAACAATAAAGCAGAGTAAAACCTCGGTAAGCTGTGAGAGTCTTAAAACTAAAACATACTATTAGCTGTAACGTTCACTTTCTGAAGCCGCGAGTCCCATTTAATATTTCTAATCTTTTGGACTAGGTCATACTTCAGCTACGACATTCAAAATCTTGGGTCCGAAAGGGGTATGCTACACCGAGGTTTTACTGTATATTTATGTTAAGTGAAAGGTAGAGGTTGAAACCAAAGGACATTCTCTTGGATTCCACTATCTGTACAGATGAAGATCTTGCTATTAGAAAGAGAGCAGTAAGGAGAGTCCAACATGTCTTTAACTGGAAACACAAAGGACAGTCGAGGGGGTGGGGTGGGGGGTAATACTAATATCAAATCCCGCTACAAGATGGGATGGGATGAGAAGTGGGGGGAGGGTTGACCGGGAGAAGGGGACAGTGGGCAGCCCATAACAGTAAGATTGACAGTGAGATATGATACTCCCAAGTACTTACATAATCATTTTTGTAACTCTTTATCAAACTGCACCAGTATAAATTTTTTTTTTTTAAATTTTTAGTAAGAATTTTACAGGACTTGCAACACATGAATATGTCAAATAAGTGTCGCAGATTAGAGATGTTACTAGAAAGTACACATACAAAAAAAAGGTGGGAGAGAGAAAAGGAAGACAGACATTTGATAGGAAAGAAACAGCGCACCACACCAGGCTACCCACCAATCACCCACACAAGCTAAAGAAAACACATCATCCACCTGATACTCAGGACAGTCTCATCAACAGAACACAACTTCTTATCTGAGAAAACAGAAAACTGTCCCAATCTTCGAGGAGGGGAGAAATTAGGTTTATTTCACCTCAAAGAAAAGCTAAAACAGAGTACAGTTGTTCTTGTTTTTTTCTTTTACTTTTAGTAAGAGTTTTACAGCATTTGCAACACAGTACGGTCATATAAGTGCCGAAGAACAGAAGTATACAGTGAAAAGACGGAGGTAAAATAAGGAAGGTAGATGTTTGATAGGACCCACATAAGAGCACCCTCCAACCACCTTAGAAAAGGATTTCCAGCCATACTGATGATAACCAAGCTGCTCTCAGCACACCCCTTCACATCCCTTTCCCCTCTCCTCTTCCCCCCCCCCCCACCCCCACTGTTTGTTGAGCACCCACCTGTGTTCATATCGGGAGACCACTCCTGCTCAGAGCCAGACTTGACGCTGCCGAAGATCTTGAGTTTGTTCCCATGAAACATACGATTGCTGTGACTGTGTCTTGCAGCACCTACCGGACAGACAACATTGTTTGAGTTTTTGTGACTGAGTAAAGAGATGTACACTAACAACACAGAAACACCCATTTGGTGCAAGGCAAAATTATTCAAGAAAGAAAGACAGAAACAACCGGGAGAGAGAAGAGAAGAAATGATGCGCAGACGGAATAAAGTGAGGTGGGATAAGATTACTTCAAATAGCTTACGACAAATGTACAGAACCTATGTAACTAAGATCTCTGTAACTAAGATATTCATTGAAGCATGACACCGAGTCTTCTTGCAGTACTCAAGAACAAAAACAAAACATTTTAGCTTTACAGTCACGAAAAATTTACCCAAAATGACACGACCAAGTACAAGGCCAGTCTTTAGAAAAAAAAAAATAATTAAAAAGCTTCAACAAATATAAAAAAGAACACAAACAGAAGCACTTACTAGGCACAACGGCCTCCGAGCCGTGACGTTTGGCCAAAGCTCCTTCAAACCGAGACACGGGGGACTCTGAGATGATGCTGTCACCACTACAGAAAGACAGGACAACAATCCTAGAGCTGTGAACATCCCACTTTACTAGTCAACATTCATAACTTTAGCACTATTCACAATTATTCAAAGTGTGGCAGAGCCATTCGACTGCTGTGTGCTTTTTTTAACAGATTATGAATTTTCATCAGTTTTTCTCAAAATGTAGTAAAATTAGAGCATATAATATCTAAATACAGCAATACTTTGTACTTGATTGTTACGAGACAGACTGATAAGTGGAGCCAACAATCAAGATCACTGAAGTGAGGGGCTGCTCTACAGCATGCCTTTCAGGTCCAACCTGGACTGACAGTAAACAGCATCCCAGCAGAACGACAGGGATACTTGATAACATTTCTCCCAAAACAGTCATCAAACTCACATCTTCAGCATACAATGATGAAGCACCTTACTATAACACTACAAATGTCGGTATGGCATGTGTGTGAGCACTGAACAGATACAGTTGAACCTGCTCTAAAGACCGCTTGTCCAAGGCAGTCACCGGCACAAATGAACACATCCTTATCTTCCTCCCCCCCCCACCTATTTTTTCTATATTAAAATTGCACTGTCCAAGAGGACCACCTGTTTAAGATGACTACTTTTCTCCTCGACAATTGGCGATCATTTAGGACAAGCTTGATTGTCAATACTGACCTCTGGCTGTGAAGCTCTGCACCATCCCCAAAGCTGCTGGATACCTGACTGACAAACGGCTTCTTGCTCTTCGTGGTCACAGTCACAGTGGGGCTCTGGAAAGAAGAATAATAAATAAATGTGAGGTGTGCTGACAAAATCAGTTACTTCTCCGATCATAATCAAATTTATAGGTGAATTTATAACTGAAATAAGAAACAAAGCTAAACTTGAAGAGAATAGCATCAGTTGCAAATCTTTAAACATGACCCCTGCGTCAATTTTTGGCCTTTATCTTAATTGTTGGATTGCGAGAAATAATTTATTTAGTCAGCATGCCTCGCAAATGGTTTTTGTATTGCGCAAGTTCCTGCCCGACAGGAAACTATGAGGTTTCCAATCTATAATATTGCCCCAACAGACCTGATGGCATTCTGAATTAATCTCAACTTCCAGGCAGTGCAAACTGTTATTTCACAAGCGCTAGAACATTAACATACTGACAGGACCTTTCCCTGTCTATGGCCGGCCCCCCATTCACACCTTGGTGAAGTGAGGAAAATTGGTGTCAAGTGCCATTCCCAAAGATACTACATTGCACTGAGCTGAGCCCTAAGCCAGCAACTTTACGAATCTGGTCTTAAAAGTTCATAACTCTTCTTCAGTATCAGCAAGTCCACACTGAGCAGCATGAGAGAATAACGAATACATGTTTTTCAATACAATATCAGACTTCCATACTAAGACTTGATATGTTTTTTAGATACTGGCTGGCAACTATGTTGCTGAATAAGCCCTTCCATAAATCTACTAACAACCAACCCCATCTAAAAAAAAAACACAAGAAAAACAACCCCATTTCCCATCCCAACCTCCCCCCCCAAAAAAAACAAGGCAAAAAGCTCACATTCATTTCCCTAGAGGGCGGGGGAAAAAAATTGAAGTACGCAAAACTTATACTCATATCGGATGGAGCTCTACATGAACGCAATTTATCATTATTATTATTATTTTTATTACTATTACGTCTGCAAGCTGGGTACAGGATGGCAAGTGTGCTGTTAACTCTACCCACCTGCACAGCTTCTCTGTTGGAGAAAGGGAAGTCATCGTCATGGTCCAGATGTGAGACAGAGTGGACGTGCCGAGCCTGCATCTGCATGCCACGCTGGTCTGAGGGGTCACACAAAATGTAAGTTTACAGGGTTTTTTTGTGTTTTTTTTATAGTAGAGGGTTTTACAGCGTTCGCAACTGCATAAGGTCATATGAGCGCCAAGGGGTGGGTGTCAACAGAGACGTCTTTACAGGGAATCAGACTTAGACTGCTCACCTCTCTAGCTTCAACAGCACAAGGTCTGCTTCGACTATCAAAGTACCCCAAAATAGCAGGTCACAAGAGAGTGACAAACATACAAAAGAAGTAGAGGAAAATGACAATAGTAAGGATCATGAAAGAAAAAGCAGCAGTTCCCTGTTGTACATCAGGCACAGTTATGAGCGTGATATGAGTCAGCCCATTTACAATTCTACTGTGCTTGAACAAGAATTGTCCACCCTTTGGGAATGGCCTAAAGACACTTCAGTCAGTGGCACTGCCCCAGGGGGTCAGTTTACAGTTTCTTCAGTAAGAATTTTACAGCACTTGCTATACAAAGAGGTCATAAAAGTGCCAAAGATTAAAGGTCTTACTACAGAGTAATACACAAAGAGAAGAAGGAGGAGAGTTTTACATTTCAGTAAAAGTTTTATGAACATGGCACTTGCAACATAATAAGGTTATATAAGTGTAGAAGAATAGATGTGTAATATGAGAGTAACAAACTCAAAAAAGGAGAAGAGATAAGGGCGATAGATGTTTGATAGGAAAGAAGGAGCCAATCACACCAGAGCACCCGCAAACACCCACACTGCACTTGCAACCCAAACAGGTCACATAAGCAACAAAGACAAGAGGTGTTACAACAGAATAAAATACAAAGAAAAGAAGAGATAAAAATGATTGATATTTTACAGAAAAGAAGGTGTAAACCATACCAGGACACCCGTTAACTACCCACACACTAAGAAGTGAGTTTACAGTTTCTTTTGTAAGAGTCTTAAAGCATTCGCTACACAAATATGTCGCATAAGAGCTGAAAATTAGAGGTGTTACCACTATCTAACTTTCAAAGAAAAGGAGGAGAGAACGGAAAGAAGCAAACTGCACCAGAGGACCCGCTAACCACCCAAAGACATAAGTTTGCAGTTTCTTTAATAAGAATTTTACTGCATTCACAACGCAAACGGATCACAAGAGGTGTTACTAAAGAGAAATATGCGTTAAACATGTCTGCAGATCAGAGACCACCAGAGTCCGTAGTTAACGGGTTTTATAAAGAAAAGGAGGACATGAGAGACATGAACTTGTTTTTGCTTGGACATAATATCCTTTTCAGCCCAGGTTGGCCCCTTCAGGCAGGGTCGAAGCCTACCCCCTAAATGATCTAAATTATTTTTTTAAAACCTACATTTTCGAAAAAGATCAGGGGCCGTTGCATGACTACACTAAGCATGTCAATTATACAAAGGTGGGCTATTACAATCAAATCTTCACTCTGATCAACACTTTGCCAGTTTTCCAACAGCTGGCCACTCACCAACAGGAAAAGCATGCACCCATCGCCTCCTGTTGCTGGTCATTTTGAACTGAAGTCTGGACGGAGCAAAAGGGTTGATAAGGGCCCGGTGAGGCCGGTAGTTGTGCAAGTTGCGGGAGTGTCCGACAGGGGAGCCAGCGCTGCCCACTACAGGTCGAAGGTTGATGAGCTCGTCACTCTCAGACGACTCGTACGAGTCTCGGCTCATTGCTCGCTCTGAGAGAATCAAGACAGACAAAGAAAATATTTCATTTCTCAAAATGATTGCACAATAATGGAAAAAACAATACAAAATAATAACAAGTACAATATCACGAATAGCTAGATTATTGCAAGACAACTATACAAATTTAAAAACCCACCAAACACAAGCAGTTCAAAGTCTTGAAAATAATCTTGTTATTTCACGTTTCCTCAGCATCAAATCTATAACTATGTTTATGCACCTTTTTTCCCCTCAAATTTTCCTGAAAATTCAAGACAATTGGCAAACCTGCTATAATGTCGACACTTATTCTACATCACTTACAAATATCTTATACCAAATCGGGACTCAAAACAAAAAAAAAAGCAAACAAAAGAAATTAAAAAACAAAAATTAAAACAAGAAAGCTCTCAACAAACACTTGCCATGTATCGGGTAACACCCAAAGGAAAACGACATGTCGTCGTGTGATGCCCTGTGGCCAGGGATGCTAATGGCAGCAGACGTGTCCTTCCCAGGCTCCTTGTGGTCGTTCATGTAGGCGGAGACTTCGTCCGAGATGTGCCGCTGTCTCGGCCTCAGCCTCTGCCTCGCCTCGGAAAACGTCTTCGGCAGCGCTGGCCCTCGGTTGAAGATGTTGTTGAGGGTTGTCCCACGAGCAGAGCTGCCACAGAGCAAAGACTTTTACAGCAACACGAATTCTTCTACACCCCAAAGTGATTCATTTTCACTGTAAAAGGTTTACACCCTAACCACATGTTTGTTTGAGTAAGGGAGTAAAGAGAAGCACATCGACACTAAAACAGCCGTTTAGTTTTGGGGGAAAAAAAGCAAGACAGACCAACAGAAAAAAAAGAGGAAAAGAAAAGAAGTAGGACTTACCCAGGGCGCTGTCACAAAGTCAAAAAGAAAGACAAATACTAAAAACGAAAACATTGAAGACCTGAAATTTCAGAAATATCACTCCTCAGACAGATATTCAAAATCTCAGACAAACAAGCAGTCGAACGTAACCACGGCAACACTTACTAAGTACGTGGTGCTGTCCCAGATGGTAGCTTGAACACTTGGGCATCGTATTCGTCATAATCAACAAATGGGATGTTGTCGTCATTTGAATCATCTTTTCTTGGAAGGAGGTCTGAGAAGTATGCATAATATTCAACATTGGGGAGACGTGCTAACAAAATGAATTGTTTCTCTAAATTTACTAAAAGAAATATCGACCAAAAATCGACACGTGTGAAATTTCTATATTTTCAACTGATACTATTTTCTTCAAGTCAAACATGCCTCTTTTATCATTTCATACTAATAAATTGTACAAACTCAGCCTGTACATTTGACATATTAATGTCCATGGGGCTAATTCGAGAAGTAACTAATTTTGTCAACACACATCACAATTATCCCTCCCGCAGGGTACAAAAAATGAGGATAAGAAAGCATTCGACCGACCCCCTGCCCTACAAGTCACTAATGGGCTTTTTCCTAAACAAAGGTGCATGAAATTTCAAAAGTTTCAAACCATACCAAACAAACTCATCTGATCAAATTTTTTTAAAGATAGGTTCTGGGAGAAAAAAAATACAGGAAAACTCAAAAGACAAAAGTAGAGTTAAGATATTTTCCCTTAAGAATGTCAAAGAGGACAAAAAATCAAGGATCACAAAAAGGCCTTTACTTCCTCTTGAATGACACAAATCATCCACATAAAAATATCGGCCAGAATCTGAACACTTCAACAAGTACATACTTTTCTTCACATGTTTGGGCCCTTCTTCCAGCTCTTTCAACTACAACAGTGGGAGAAAAGAAAAGAGCAGTTAAGAAACATTGTAACAAGATATTTTAAGCTTTCACAATGTTCAGTTAAGTCAGTCGAGTTATCATGAAAAGAAAGAAACTGACAATCATAATTGACCGGTTCTCTCTTGACTTGGGTGTTGCCGATGTTAGATTCAGTACAAAGAAGGACATCCACACAATAATGGTCGTTTCAGGGTGGGGGAAAAAGTAAGAGAGACAGACAGAAACAACAGAGGGAAAGTAAAAGAAGTTGAACCTACCAGTGGCATCCTCCAATCACCTGCGGTTGTTGACTAGAAAATGCGGTGAATACATATATACAAAGGGTGCTAATTAGTTTTGATGGCCTCAGCAGTTAAATATCAGAGCACTACAAGTAGTCTGCCCTTGATTAATCTATTCTCAAAAACACTATCAGGGCAACGTGATAACCACCAATTATGGCATCCTATGTTCTAAAGTCTTTCATGCTCTGTATATGTCTATTAGAGCATGTTAATTGTGCAAAAAGTCCCTCTGCAAGATCTGTATAAAGATGTATGTCTCAACATGGAAGGATTTCCTCTAAAATGAAACCAAAATGAGCATGCTAAATTAACTGAGTAATTGATATGCTGGGACATTTTTTTTACTCCACTCAAGCGTACCCATTTGGAAATGCAGAGAAAATTCTTCGTCTTAATTCAAAATCAGTGCTCTCTCTTAAATATTTGGACTCTTTCAAAACTTCTCACTGAACAAATCTGCTAATTACAAGGCATAAAAGCCATCCTATCATCGTCTCTTACCAACTCCAACCACATGAGTAAAATCCCCATACCTAATAAGTATTGCAATATTCTTACTGCAGACCGACAGTGATTGCCTTGTGAGAAGAAAAACTTACCAGCGCTGGTGGAGGTTTGATGCGTGGCACAAATGATGAGTTCATGTGATCCTCGATTTGGTTCTTGGACATGTAGAAACTGAGATAAATGACAGAACACATTTATTGTTTCACGACATGGTGGAATCAAGTACTTGTCAGTTTTGGAGCACATGGAGTGATTGATATCATGTTCATGCTTGTTCTTTTGTCTTTTTTTAAATGCAAAAAATACCCAGTTATCTTTGAATAGAAGTCAACATAATTATAATTGAAACAAGCGGCAGGGGTGGTGTTTGCCCAGTGTCAGGGGTAAAACTAGCGAGAAAATGGCTGCCACAGTTTGGTAGTCCATGAAAACTACAAATTTACATTATTTTATTTTGAGCCTTTCAATTTTTATCAGTAAAATCCATGCAGAAATGCGGTCTTAAATTAACATAAAAGGTGTTGAAATAAAAAGCAAAAATTCAAGACCGCCTTAGTCAACGAAAAGCTCCTACCACCATTTGCATGAAGAGTCTCATGCCTTCCTTTCTCATATCTGTTTCTTCCCGAGGAAGTTGACATTGTATTTGTTATCATTCAGAAGTGAAAAACTTGCTTGTGGTGTAGAGGTTAGGCACTACCATGGAGACAGGAAAGAGAAAAGAGTCAGTGATCAGCCTACCTGTGATTCATCCAGTGTGGTATGTTGTAGTCGTCGCCAACTTCTATGGACTTGTGAGAACTTTTGCTATGGAACTAAAGATTTTTTTAAAAAAGAAATTTGTTTTCAAATGTCTTAGGAAGGAACCTAAAGTGCTTAGTTGTGCAAGATGTGTCTAAGCTTTGAGTATAGAAAAGCACAATAAGACAGACAAGAGAAACATAAAGACAGCTAGATCATTGGCAGGATTATACAACCAAGAACAGTTTTTTAAACTAAAAGGGGGAACTTAAAGTAGCTCAGTCATCAGACTTGTGTGCACAGTTAAAGAAAACACTCATTCAAATAGCTTTCAAAAAGGCAAATGTTCAAAATCTTTAAAAAAAGACTATTTAGTTTTACTTTTAGTTAGAGTTTTACCCAAGATGCAACACAATAAGGTCACATAAGAGCAGAAGATTAAATGTTTTACTTGAGAGTAACAAACAACGAAAAGAAAGAGAGACAAGGACAATAGATGTTTGATAAGAAAAAAGGGATCAAACCACACCAGAGCACAGGCCAACCAGCGACAAAGACTATTTCAAACAATTGAATCATCCCTCTATAATAATAATAATAACAATAATAATAATAGTTTAACTAAGTCACTTCCAGCAATGCTTGCAGCTGTGGAGCAGCTATAGCCTATTTCTAAATTAGATGATGGTGTTGCAGGTCAAAGTTTGAACTTGATTGAGCCATAAATTCATTTTTCAAATCCTTTCTACATCTTTAATCTTGGCGAGTGCAAGCAAGCTTTACTTGTCTACTGACAAAATGGGTCATTTAGCATCTATGTCCTCATTCTAGTAGAAGGTTTACAGGTTTCAATACTAAAACAGAATACAAGAATGCCCTTCCAGTGGTACGAACCAGTAATGCCTGCACCACAACCTAGCATACCACCAACTGAGCTAACAGAGTAGCTGGCACATCTAGGAGAAGAGCATAAACAGAAAAGGCTCTTTGCTATTACTCCAAAATGCTCACCTTGAACAATGGTGCGGCATGCAGCGGCTGCTCTCCCATACAGACCAGGTCACTCCCGACACCTGGCACAGACAGACATAGACATTTTAACTCATTTGACACACTAGCACAAAAAAATTTAGATACACTCACTGACACACCTGGCACAGACAGTACAGATATTTCAGTACACCTGACACACAAGCACATATCATAAATAATATAGATACACTGACACACCTGACAGAGACAGTACAGACATTTTAGCACACATGTCAAAAATGTACACCAATAATATAAATACACTGACGCACCTCACAGACACACAGACACAGATAATACATATCGGTTTATCCTGAAGTTAGTCTGAATGAGCCAGGCTCACAACAAAAAATTAATTAAAAAATAGATGAAATTTACCTCCAAAAAATAAAGACTTTTACAGAAGCTTGATAAAGGCCTTCTATAAATAAATTCCAAGGAAATAATTATGAGAAATTACTTTCACCAGTGTGAGTGAAATTTCTTTTACCACCGATTTTATCATTGCACCTAAATAATATTGTCTCTGTTCATGAAACAGTCTCTTTCTGCAAACACCAGAACAAGCCAATGACACAGGTTAACAAATGAATGTAAACAGAAAGAAAGACAGAAAGAAAGACCCTCTCTGCTCCCTCACCGCAGTCAATGGTCCTCTGTTTGGTGATGTTGGCCAACTGTCTGTCCACCTCGAAAACGCCCGGACCAGGGGTGATCACGACAGACACCTTGCCAGTGCGGTCAAAGTTCCGATCCAGGTAATATTTTTCAAACACTGCAAAAACAATTTCATAAGTCTAAAGTAATAACTTTGTTGACATTTGTTTATTTGTTTGAGTAAAAAAGGAGTATATTGACACAGGAACATCCATTTAGTAAAGGGTTAAAAGCAGGACAGACAGAAATAACTGAATGAAAAAAGAATCAGGACATACAAGTGGCCTCCTTCGAACCACCCTGTTAACTTTTATTGTATAAATGAGTCTTAATTTGAAGAGAAAATTACAAAGATGATGCAGGATAAAACATCTTAATTGCAGCAAAGAATCAATGACAAAGACTTCTACCTTTTTTTAAAACGGCATTGAGCCAAATGGCACTTGCTCAAAGGCTACTGTTAATACAGTTGTTGGTTACCCTTTATTTAAAAACAACTGTACTCTCAAATCAAAGAAATGTTGAGGTTAAGTAAAAAATACTAAATGGGACTTGGGGTATAAGAAAGTAAATGTTGCAGCTGCTAGCATGTATTAAGCTATGTACATTACACAGAGGTTTTTCAATAATTGTAACTGTGGGCTGATCAGTAATAGAAACAATCAGGAAAGAGACAAATGCAGAAAGTATACGCACAATTCAAAGACATATTGAGAGTTTCCAGAAAGTTCCCCTGCGAGGCCAAAGAGTTGGTGGCTTTGGGCATCCTCCAGCCCTGCTGGCCGTGGGAGTGATAGTGCAATACCGTCTCCTGGTACACGTTGAACAATGTACGCAGCTCCCGCAGCACAGAGGACCACTCCTCATATCTCTCATTCTGAACTATGACTCTGGAAAACAAGAGAACAAGACCAGACACATAAGGAAAGACAAGATGATATTTTATGGATCTCTACAAAAAGAAATTTGCTGTGACATGGTAAATACATGCACACTTAAGTTAACACACTCACATACCTACACACATGAATAATTGGCTTCAGGTGGGGAGTGAGTGCCCTTGTGTCCTTTTGTGTTAATGGATGCTCATGAGAAGAGCAGGTGGATGGTTTGGGGAGGCAAGAGAGGGAGAAGGGGAAGGACAGAAAGAGAGACGGGGCGTGGGGGGGGGGGGGGGGGGGACGGACAGACAGACATGCAGAGAGAGAGAGAAAAAACAGAGAGAGAGAGAAGTATAAGTGTATTCACAGTACTGGAATTTCTTTTTAAAAGGACATACATTTTAATCAGTTCAAAAGTTAGTATTAATAGAAATAAGAATGTGAGATTAATTCCCTAAGAAAAATACACAGAGAAACTAGAACAGAAAAGTTGTTACATATTTTTTAAAATCAAAGACTTTGCGAACAATGTTACCTGTAAAAATCCTCATAAATCCTGCCCTTTGTGTCAATCTGGAGACATTCCCTCACTGAAGGCGGAAAATCCTCTGAGGGCAGAAAACATGAAAATGAATAATTTGGAAACGACATTGATATTTCAAGAAATACAACAACTCCCTCACCAAACAAATAATTTTAGCTGAATAAAACTTTTTACAGAAAAAAAGACGTCATAAAAACAAGAGATACATGTGTTCACTTTTCAACCCCCCCACCAAAAAAAATATCAGTATTGAAATGAAAAACAAAATAAGTACTTTTCCTGCATAAATAGTATATAAAAGTGTTCCCTACATGAAATGTTGTCTTTGCCATTAAAAGGCTCAGATATAAAAATTTTAAAAAAAGAATAGAACAATAAGTAGCTACTTTGTACCACAATCAGGAGAGCAAAGACAGTTAAGTTTTAGTAGACGTTTTACGGTGCTCGCAACTGCATAAGGTCATGTGAGCACCAGAAGATTAGAGGTGTTACAAGAGAGTAACAAACATAAAAAAGAAAAAGGGGAAATAAGGAAGTTAGATGTTTCATAGTAAAGAAGAAGCAAACCACACCAGAGCACCCGCCAACTACCCACTAGCAAAGACAGCTAGGGAGAGAATTTCTGGGGTATGATTATACCATATATAAAACGGCAGTTATATATAATGAGAACATTTCTAACATACCAACAGACTGAGCTTCATAAAATGTCCGAGAAAACAACACAATCGTCACATCGTGCACACAGTTCTGATCCTGAAAACAGAAAAAATGGGCACTTTTGAACAAGAGAATCAAAATATTATGAATCAGAGGCAAACTTGTTTCAAAATTCTTTGCTTTCTATTATCTAATTCAATACAATGAAAAAAACCTACTTAGGCATCTGTGCATTTAGACTCAAGTTTGACCTATGATTACGTGATGTTATAATTCTATGAGGTCCTGCCATATCAGTACAAATTGCAAATATATAAACTACTGAATTTTATGTGATACAAAATAAAAGGAGCAAATCAAGCCTGGTTGCCAAAACAAAGTAATCTTAGTATAAGTTTTGATTTCTTGGGTTGTAGTAAAAGTAAAGCTGATAAGCATCATCAACATATGATTCTAATGCCTTTATGTTAAAAAAAACACATTAAGAGAAAAGTATTACTCAAAAGAATCAGAAACTGCAGACAAAACCAGAGCAGCCACACTTTTTCATAGATATCCTATACATGAGAAAAAAAAAGCTAGTCGGAAAACACACACCAACAGTACTAGTCATAAAAAAAACCACACAACTCATAAAGACCAGAAGTGCTTGAGAACAAATAGTAATGGCAGACACACAGGCAGTTTTACAGCACTTGCACTACAAATAGCTGATACATTTGCTAAAGATTAGAGGGATTGCTAGAGAGTAACATGAACCAAAAAAAACAAAGACATAAGGATGATAGTTTGATACGAAAAAGAAACAAACCACACCTGAGCACAAACAAACCATCCACCATATAAATTTTGAGTTTTGAGTGAAGACAAGCACATGAATAGAATAACAATCATTTAGAGCTTGGAAAAAGCATGACAGATAGAGAGACAGAAAAGGTCAGAGTGAGCGAACGGAACAAGACTTATCTGAGGCACCCTCCAACCACCCACAGACAAACAACCAAGAAAAAAACACAAACACAAACACACATACAGATGACGCACAAACACACTGTGACAATACAAAGACACACAAACACACACAGAGACGATGCACAAACACACCTTCCATTTGTCAAACAGATCAGTAAGGAAACCATTGACAGCCTTCTCAAAATACAGATCTCCATGCAGATCAAAATCCCACATCTCTGAGCTCATCTGAATGAAAATCTGCACAACTGCTGTGGGAGACCGGAACACAATCTGTAACAGAACAAGTTTATTAGGTGAATAGAAAGCAATAGTAGGATTCAAAATGAACAATTCTCATTTTAAAAGTAAGACGAGTGAAAATGTATGGTTGAACTTGCTCTGAGACAATCATCTGTACAAAACACAAACCCCCTTCTCCCCCCCCCCTTTTTTTTATAGTAGAGGGTTTTACGGCGCTCACAACTGCATAAGGTCATATGAGGTGTTACAAGAGACTAACAAACATAAAAAAGAAGAAGGGAAGATAAGGATGATAGATATTCGATAGGAAAGAACGAGCAAACCACACCAGAGCACCCGCAAACCGCCCGCTGAGCCTCATATTCGGGAAAATGTATCTCAGCATAATTTGCTAGGAAACATAGTTTAATCACAGGCTCCTTCCCCCTTTGCATTTTTACAAATATTATAATGACACCGTCCAAGACATCCACCCATCTAAGACAATCGCCGTTCTCCGTGACAATGGGGGGGGGGGGGGGGGTGTCTTCGCATTCAACATTCAAATTATTATATAATATTAAGAAGAGAAACATACAGAAGATGAAAGTTAACAAACAGAAGTTGGCATACACAGAAAGAGTGATGGAATGAGGGAGCAAAACAGAAAGTGAAAAGCACAAACACACGACAAGAGGACAAAGGCAAACATTGACTTTTTTAAAAAATTAGACATACTCTTGTGTCCTCTGTTATGACACCACATGTCACGTTTTCACCGCGAGCCCACAGTTCATTCACTGTGGTCCTGAAAACAAAGGGCAAAAACATTTAATGACGCATTCCGAGTTAGACTACATGCTTCTGACAGGGGCAACCCTTAGTTCATTTCAGCTAGTGATATAGAATAGCCAAAAAGCCAATGTAACGATGGTCATTAAATGTGGAGAAAACACAATACCAAAGACCAAACAAAGTGTTACCCCAATTGCTTTTGTCATAAATCCAACAGAAAAATTATCAGGATTTCATCCTTCCATCTCCACTACATGGAGAAGTATTTATAGTGTACAATAAAGTCAAGACAAATTCTAATATATTCAACAGCGAAAAGAAAACACATCCTTTAAAATTTTGCAAGCTTTCATCACTTTACAACATTCCAGATAGACCCATGAAATACCATACCTCATTTCGGCGAATTCTATTGTCTTCTTCAGGTAAACACAAGTATTTGTCTGTGAATTTTAAAAAAACAAAAAACAAGTTAAACGGAAAAAATTTTTTAAAATGTTTTTGTATGCCATAAGCCAACAGAGATAATGTCAACAAATAGAAAACTCGGAGGCAAAAAAAACTAGAGGAAAACTTCCAACAGACCTGAACAAAAGCAAAAAAGCATCAAACAGCATACAGTGAATCATTCTGTTGATAACTAATAGCTTTATCATTTGAGTAGCTCAGACTTATGAGCTGAACTTGTCCTGTAATTCTAATCCAACCCCTCCTATCAGCTAAACTTATAATTGCCAACTTATTGAAAGGATTCACAATGAAATTATCACCAGAATCATTTAAAATGTCTTTCCTTGTGAGAATACACATTATAAGTATTAAACATAAATTCTTCCACGTCAGGTTCTTCATAAAGTTCAATGCACTTCTGCAATGTGTCGTCTTATATTACTGCATCATCAATTGTCTTACCAGGGTTTTACAAAGTCTCCACATGTCACTGCGGCCGAAGTACTGCTCCTTGAACAGCAACTCCACAAGATCAAGAACAACAGTCTATCACAGAGAAACAAGAAATAAGAAATAAATAATAATAATAATAATAAGTACATTTCTATAGCACTCACTCCCCAGATGGGGTCTGCTATGCATTACAGTTGCAAGAAAAAAGAAGTAAAACCCATCATAATAAAATGAGTCATATACCTCTCTTAATAATTCCCTTATAGCTATATATATATATATTGCATGTGACAACAAAACTTGTATTATTGTTTATAATATCATAGCCAAAACATCAAATGAATTTTCTAGAAATATTTCATGAAGAGCAACAAACACACCTTTGGGTCGACTTTGTTGATGATGATATTGTTGTAAGGCCGTAAGCAAAAGGCACTGGCTATACCCTGCTCTATGCTGACAGCATCTGAAAGGCAAATGAATAAAATTAGTACGACTGTCATCTACAACTTTTTCACCAATCATATGATGACTAGCACGGATTTGAACTCCAACCAAAAAGAAACAAAAACAAACATCCGCAGCATTACTGTAGCATCATAGCCTTTAAAAATCTTTATGTTTTTCAAAAACTCATTATTGGACTGTCAAGTTTATATTCCTCAAAGAAGTATATTTTACTTGAAAATTTTCGCTGAGTGAGTAGATAAGTTTTAGCAATAAATCAGGTAGGCTGCAAAAAAATATTGACACCAAGCACAAGGCAAAGAAATGCACCCTCAATAATAAAAAAAAAAATACAATGAGTACAGCAGGCTCGGGGGTGTCGGGGGGAACACCAAAAATATCAAATCAAGCAGTACCTTTTTGCTGATACTCCTCAGGAAGGCATTTCACTTGAAGAAGAAGTCGACTGAAACAAGATCATCATTGTGCAAGATGAGCAGAATAATTAACAAAACATTTTGATAAAAAATAATGTGTTTGAAATGAATGATAGAAAAAGCCCTTCTAATCATTACAGAATTGAGTGCAATAACTTATTAAAAATTAAATCCACAATAAAATTATGCTAGCTGTCGAACTCTCCACCCTAAATGAAAAGCAATGTGAGGTGTTCTGACAAAATGAGTTACTTCTGGCAATCCACAAGGAGATGTCAGCCAAAAAGAGACACATCAAGTTAATTGTAAATATTAAACTGACACATTTTTCTTCAAGTTGTACATGCTTTTTATCATTTCATGTGATAAATTGTATCAACTCAACCTATAAATTTGATGTGTATATCTGTGCCCCTAGGACTAGAATTCCAAAAGTAACTCATTTTGACAGCATCCTTCACCAATACTTTTTAGAAAAAGACTGTTACACTTATATATAGAAGAGAGTGTATTTTATCTTTATTAAATCTCTGAACTTACTTCCACTCATCATCTGGATGGTAGAGCTCCACAACATCTCCAGCTTTTATATCAGGAAAATCTTTCGAGGATATCACAATGTCTTGATCTGATGAAGAAAATAACATAAGCATGGTAGTTGAGAACCAGTTGCTCTTTCTTTAAAATGAGGACAAAAATTTGAAAGGAATAACAGACCATTGCTATTTATGGAATCTCTATTCGTTCTATTTTTATGAAACAAAAACACCATAAACCTCTCTAAATTAAATTTAGGAGACAGTCCTTTTAAAAACTAAACAACCTTTAATTTGTCTTTTTTTGTTATTCGTATAAAAGTATTCTATCTAACAACTTTTTTTTGTGGTACTTTTAAAAGTCAGAAAAGTTAACATTGATGATAAAGGGAGGGAGGGAGGGGAGCCACATAAAGGTGCAGTGCAAAGCAGTGTGTTTGGAGTATGATGTTTCTCTAAGTGACCCAGTGGTAAAAAAAAACTTAGTCACAGAAGACAGTGACTGGTACTCAAAGCATGGGGCAAAGGGTGTAGGCCTATTATGTCATGTGCTTTGGTAAAAAAGTAAAGTTATAAACACCACAACGCCGTGAACGTAACTTGCAGGCTACGTTCACGGCACCCTGAATCATCCACCATTGGCACAGAGGCACAACTGAAACGCTACGGTCACTCAAGCTCAGAGTGAATGAGGAAACGGTACAGGAATACGCGCGTGAAAAATAATGCAGCGGTGGTCCGAATGCAACAGTTAGAGGGCGAAGCACAGCAAAACAGCCTCGGTCATCAATCCTCTTCCCGAGTGCGGACCTGGCAACGCTCGACAATTTGAAAATAACGGTCGTTTGAAGAAACAAGGGAGAATGGAAGAAGGCCAAGGCGGGAAGAGGGGTGGGAGTGGACGAAAAAAAGAAGCAAAAGGGAAAAGGGTGTGAAGTGAGCAAGATCATTTTTAAATTGCAAACTACATTCAGGGCACAGTGAACGTAGCCACAGCGTATAAACACCCCCCCCCCCACCAAGTCTACAACAGAATACATTTTTTATAATAAAAAGTGTAAAAGAGTTTCATCTCGAATTGCTGTACAATATTTTTGTTAAACTGTAGTGTAAAGTCCATTGTGAATGTTCACTGGTACGAAACATCGTCGAATGAACCAGCAGAGATCACACTTTTGCTCTGCCTACCCATCAATTCAATAAAAAAATTAAGTTACTTTTACAATACACTGCTACGCATGCAACTACCAGTTATAACGAGTAACAATACTACAAGTATGCAGCCACAAAGAGTTATTTTGATACTTTCATACAAATTTGTGCTTAACCAGCAAGCACTCTCTGCCTTCTCAAGGAGCCACTATACTCCTTTGTCCAGTGCATGCAGTTTTGCAGAATTAGGCTATTCAAACTGTTTTTTGGGGGGGTAAAAATGATACTAGAATCTACATCTAGATCTCGTTTGTTTTGTTTTAGTAGAGGTTTAACGGCGCTCACAAACTGCATAAGGTCATATGAGCACCAAGGGATGGATGTTTACAGTGACAACAGAAAAGTCCTTACTGGGTATCAGATTTACTCTGCTCACCTCTCTAGTCTCTTGCTTGAACAGCACAAAGTCTGCTTCGACTATCAAGACACCCCAGAAATAGCGGGTCACAAGAGTAAAAGTGTGACAAACATTAAAAAAAATATAGGAAAATGACGATAGTAAGGATTAGGAAAAACAAAGCAGCAGTTCCCTGTTGTCGATCTAGATCTAGAATCTAGTTCAGGCACAGTATGACATGAGCATGACATTGTTAGCAATGCCAATTGGGCTTTCCCGCGCAGCGAAAATTTGGTCTCCATTTGCGGGCGATTTTGCGGACCCGGCCGAAGCGTAGGTGACTAACTTTGTCAACCTCCGTCTGCTCTATTTCCGAACCAATCCGAATGAAACTCGGCAACCAATCATAGGGCAAACTAATGACATGTGGGCGTTGAAGTTCGTACACATAAATTAACCTATATTTTTGGTGTCGGGAACACTTTCGTATCGTGTACACCGAAAACTATTAACGCCGAGATGGTAATAGATCTATCCTATAGATAGTGTGCTCGAATTTGAACGTTCTGTGTCAAGTAGTTGTTTAGACCCGATCATAAATGCACGACTACCCCCCTATCCAAAGCAGCTTCGTACGGAGACCGGCCATTTTCACCTCACTCTCGCCGCAAATGTATGTGACCTACAAATCTCCGCATGACTATTGCGGGCCCGTTCACTGGTCACTTGAAATAGGGCAATGGCGGGCGCACGCATCCGCTTGTTTTTCTCTCTATTCCCCTGTAACATCGCAATGGGGGTATTCCGAGGCGAGGTTATCTCGTCTCGGGGTGTTCGCGTCTCAACGGTGAAAAAGAATTTTTAATTGTACGGCATGCTAGATTGAATTAACTTATCTTTTATGGTTGGCATGGTCTAAAATCATCATAAAAAGCTTGGCAATTATTTAGTCATGCTGCCAACATATATTCTTAAAGATCCCATGTTGTGATACGATGCTATAAATAAAATAGACTCATCCCAACACCCCTTTTTCGCAAAATCGTAATATGTACACCAAAATTCTAATTATAACAAAATTAGAAAATATCTACGAAATGGGAAGTAAATCTGACTGCAGAAATGATTTCTACACCCAAAAACACATAGAGTAGCCAAGTTTCTCTCTAACACTCCGATTAGTTACCGAGATATCGTCGATTTTCTTACAGAATCTGCTACTACGTGGTCCACCTTTTAGGAGTATTATAATACGTGGGTCATCCATATTTTGCCGACCTTTACAACCCCATAACTTTTTTATTTATTAACCGATTCTTAAAATTCAAGAAGCATAATTCTGAGAATTGAAAATTCTTTCTTAAGTACCAAATAAAAAAGGGCTAAAGTGAAAATTTAAATTTTCATTGGCATTGCTACAATCATTGTTTGTCATGGTGGATCAGCCCATATATTACAATTCTACTGTGCATTAGAACGAAAAATTATGTCCCCCCTTTGGGAATGGCCTAAAGCCTTCTAAAGTCTAAAGACACTTCAGTCAGTGGCACCACCCCGAGGGGTTCTAGATCTAGACTCTAGATCTAGATCTAGACTCTAGATCTACTCATAGTTCATGATGATACATCACAACTGAAAGTGAAAGAGCTGCGGAGCTGGCCTAACTGCATCTGATCTCCCCTCTACGCTTAACGGCAACAGAGGATGAACAAGTAAAAGTACTCATAGTTGATTAGTATGGTCAGATAGTTTGTTGCATAAGTCACAAGTAAAGTCTTGGGTCGAGGGTGTGACTGAAACAGCACTGCACTGAAAGTCATGTGTTAGATGTATGTTGACTCTCATTCATCCATCCATGATTAGCAGTCATTGACGAGTCAGTTATTTTCAAGTAGACTAGGCTACATGGATCTTACTTTTGTACGTGCGTTGTGTGTGCACACACAGCCTGAACGTCTTCATTTTCATTTCAACGAGGAAACTTCACTTCATCATCTTGGTGAATAGTGTTGGATGGTTGAGTGAGACTGCTGACAACTGCTGAATGAACGGTGAATGGCTGAACGGTCAGGTCGGTCGGACTGTCTGTTGTTGTCAATCTAGCCAGATTTACTTTTTGAGGAAGGAATGCAAATCAAAATAAAATTGTGCCATTTTGTTTTGAGGGGGTTGAGAGACCCAGCGGATTGCCGAAGAACGCGCTTTTGTGTTCATGTTTCAGCATTCAGTCTTCGGTGTTTGTTTTCCATTTTTATCATTATTCTTCTCAAAACCCAGTTCGTCATTGACAGAATGGTTTGCAAAATGAAGTTGCTGCGGTCAATTTGTGTGTTAGCCGGGCGGTATCCTGGGTCTGAGTGACTGACGTGGTACATTTAGGATTCAGATTGGAATGAAAAAGCAAGTTATTCTGAAAATTTAGTAAAAGATTATAACAAGTCTTCAGAATGATACATAACTAGATTTCTACATATAAATAGGTTCATTTTTCACTTTCGAAAAATAAATCCGTCAAATGGGAACAAAAATTGCTTTGTGTTGTGCATTCACGGAGATTGTATTTAAACGACGAGATTGAATGTGGGGATAAAACAAAATGAAACTACTGAAACAAAATTACTGTATTGATTCGGAAATGTATTCCACATTAATAAAATTTAAAATGCTTTTATCCAAGTGTTCGAACTTTCTTCCATTTGCCATTTACCAACTGGCATATCACTGGTTTAAAGTGTATCAGTATAAGCAGTTTAAAATATTCAGGGGAAACAACTAGTAAAATTCTTGTTGCTACTATAAATAATTAATGAGTTGTTGGTGCTGCTGTTGCTATTGTGGCCTGCCGCGACACGAAAAAAACCACGATCCCCCCATCCCCGTTTTCCTCTTTCAGTGCTCTTCATATTAAACTTTGATTAAATTTTAAGATTTGCCAACAGTTCCCATCACGTTTTGCTTTGTTTCTAATCCTTTTTAAAAAAATACGTCTTAACATCATAGGCCTACGTGAGTTACTCTACTTTTTGCTGTCACTTTTCTTCCAATGTAAATATTATTATAATATTGGGCAAGCTTTTTTTCCCTTGTAATAAGCAGAATTCTGTTAATGCCTCAAACCAAAGGTATCTTCATTACTTTTCCCCAATTAAAAAAAAAAATTATTAAAAACCCATCACATTTGCCACGAGCATTGATTTTGGTCGCATGCGACTTAAGGGTAAATTTTGGAGTTGTTATTTGATTTTTTTTTCCCAAAAGGAAGTATAGGCCTAGCTAACTCATCCTGAATGTTCAAGAGGGGTGGGGAAAAGAGAAGATTTTGGTCATACCGTAACCGAAATATTGTACCGTGGCCCTTTGACCCCTCGAGGACTCAAGGTAATTTCCGGACGACAAGCCTCTGATTTCCCGCGGGATTTCCAGTTGCCAGGAGCAGTGGTCAGGCCTGGGCGACGACGTATCCAATTTTAACGAGTGTTTTCACTTCGCCCAATGGGTTCAGCAGTCAACAAACTCGTAATGTGGTATGTGGCACTATACCTGAAAGAGTTTTTCTTATCACTGTGTGAATAAATAAAATCGTTTAGCTCGTGACTTCTTTTTGTCTCTGTGAAATGAGGATGCTCTTGGTGAGATTGTTCAAGTTGTCTATGTTATAGTTAACTTATGAGTTGGTCGGGGGGGGGGGGGGGAGATAGAAACCCACTTAGAAAAGTCGTTTGACTGCTCAGTTACCATCTTTCCTCTTTCCTTTTCAACCCCCCTTTTTGTTTTGTTTGCTCTAGTTCCAAACCTTACTTCTGACTACTCCATTCACCTACATCTAGCCACAAAGTACCGTAGCAACGTTTGTAGGTTACTACATAAAAGCCAAAAGGAGGACAAAAAATTTTAACACACTATTTACTGCGTATAAGTGATTTAAAAATGTATCAACGAACATGATTTTGTTTCGATCAACAGTAAAAGATTCGCTTTTTCATTTAATTTTGGTAGATGCAGCTTCTTTAACTGGTTGGATGAAAGTTTACTTCGGCGGAGAATGGAGTGACCCTTAGTTTTAATAACAGCTCTACGGGTCTCATACATGTCTTTTGTACGAGTGATGTGTCGGATGAGAGGTGGGAATAATCTCCTATAGCAGAGCTTCAAAATAAGCAACATTCCCGAAAAGAATAGCCGTGAAGATTTTCATTGAATCCTTTTTTTCTCTAATCTAATGAAACGTAGGCTACACAGCAAAGTGGGCCGTCTTGTAATACATGTATGTGTACTGTGAAGGTTTCCCAAAATGTATTTTAATCAAATTCTCAAAATTTAGTAAGAAAAATAAATTGTACCATGCTGACCCCTGGAGTTTCTTGGCATCAGCGGCTTATTTATTTTTTATTTTAAAGAAACTTAACAGCACATCCCGAAAATGGATCCAAGTACAGTGGAACTCGGATTTAACGAGCTCGGATTCAACGAGATGAGATAGATTCCCCATTGTTTTTCTTCTTTAAAATCAATAAAAGTAACCCGGATTCAACGAGCACTTAAACCAGCGAGCTCGGATTCAACGAGGTCGCTTCCAGGGTGAACAGCCCCCGCAGACGTGGCCTCGCTAATTTTTCTCCCAGAACATCTATCCCCGGAAACCATCCATTGCACCTGCATCGTGAACCATTATTCACTTAGCCGATTGTATGCGACCAATCAGCGGCCTTTTTAAATACAAGGAGGTTACAGTAAGCTGGTGGGGATTTTTTGTGGTGGTTTTTTTTGGGGGTGTTTTTTTTAAAGCTCCTTGGTTAAATACTAAACTCATGTATTGTTGGCACGCGCACGCGTCCACTATGGCGTGTGTCGGGGTCAGATGGGAGGCCTGCACACGTGTGGCTGTTTGTGCGGGTCGGGGAGGGGGGAGAGACTAGCGGTCCGGGTGTTGAACGTCGCATGTGTAAACGTGTCAGTCTTTTTTTTCCCTTCCGCAACTGATCATTATTACAATAATAAGCTTGTCTTGACGTAGATCTACGTAATGAATTGTGTGCTGGCCAATAATAATAATAATAGATAGCATTTGTATAGCGCATATCCCCGCTCAACAGCAGGCTCTATGCGCTTTACACTATATTATTACCCAGCAGACCATAGAACACTCAGAAACATTTTCAGCTTCCCGGGAAGCATACAGTGCAAGCAGCTGATTAAGCGCCTAAACACTAACAAACTGACAAGATCTTTCGCTGTCTATAGCCGGGTACCCATTCCCACCTGGGTGAAGTGAGGAAAATTCGTGTAAAGTGCCTTTCCCAAGGACACAACGTCGGCCTATGGAATCAAAAGTTGCTGTATGCTGGGCTCTCCACAGCAACACAACTTTTTGGTAAACAATCGAGATGCCACAGGCGTGTGTATTTGAACGAATCGGTCTTTTTTTTTTTACACAGCTCATAATATGCAGGCATTCCAGGCACTATTTGTGACTTCTCTTGTACATTACTTGCTCAGTGCCTGTAATTATCTACACAAAACCTTGTCTTTGTTATTACGAACACTTGGATTCAACGAGATTTTTAGGTCAGGCCCGTGACCTTGTTGAATCCGAGTTCCACTGTAGATGTTCCTTTAATTTATTTTGCCTATCGATCATTGTTTGTAGACCGAGAGTATAACGTGACAACACAGCATTGATACTTTACATGTATAAATATTTAACCCCGTTGGCATAATTTAGACCAAATCAGGGAACAGGCCACTTGACCCCGTCTGTCCCGATCGACCCGGAATGAATGGATAGACCTACAGTCTGCAGTACAGATAATAATAATAATAATAATAATAATAATAATAATAATAATAATAATAATAATAATAATAATAATAATAATAATAATAGTATTAATAATAATATAATTATTATTATTATAATAATAATAATAATAATAATAATAATAATAATAATAATAATAATAATAATAATAATAATAATAATAATAATAATAATAATAATAATAATATTATTATGTCTACTGTATCCCAGCAAAGCCATCCGAAAGAGACTTGAGATTCTTTGGCCACATTAATTGATCAAATGGGCTTGAGAAACTGCTTCTTTGTGGAATGATAGAGGAACTGAAGAGCTTGGAAAGACATAGGACATCATACCATTACACTGCTGGCCTGAACAACTGCACATGAGCTGATCAGGAAGATTGACTACTGGAAGGAGTGAGGTACCATAATTGCCAATGTCTGATCTAGTTCCAGACCTTACACCTGATACCTGAATAAGAAGAAATAGAAGAACCCCAACAGAAAGATGGAGGTACTCTGCAACTAAACTTTGGAATGCCTCAAGGTTCAATATTGGGTCCAATCTTGTATACGTTGTATACACAGCCGCTTGGAGCTGTGATCAGAAAGCACAATATGAATTATCACATATGTATGCAGACGATACACAGTTATATAAATCTGTTCCACCATCAGATGTTAAAACCTTACTTACCACCGTAGGTCTGTGCATTGATGAAGTCAAAAAGTGGATGATTGATAATACGCTCCACCTTAATGAAAATAAAACTGAAATTCTTTTATGTAACCCAAAGAAATGTCATATCCCTGTAGGCATAGATCTTATTTGTACTGAAAATGAAAAACTGTATTTTACCGACAAAGCAAAAAGTCTGGGCGGGTATTTTGATTCAAAATTGTCAATGGAACATCATATCAATTGTTTAATTATTTATGTACCATTTTGTTTAGTGAATTGAGTGGAATTGGTCATATGTCTATGTTTTTGAATGAACACTCGTTGACAACACTCGTGTCATCTTTCTTGTTTTCAGGCATCGATTATTGCAATGCTTCACTAGCTAACTTACCAAATAGGCCTACCACTCTTCACAAGATACAACGTTTTCAAAATCATGCTGCTAGGCTTGTACTAAAGAAAAAGAAGACAGATTACATTACTCCCATTGCATTGGCTTCCTTTGTCAGCTAGAATGTCATGTAAAATTGCAATATTATGTCATAAATGTGTCAATAACAAAGCTCCCTCATATCTCAGTGATCTCATCCAGATTTATGTTCCA